GTGATGCCAGCAGGTTCCTGCTGAGGAGAGCCAAATCCTTGGATTGCTGAGCAGGCAGGACTGGGAATTGCATGGGAGGCACCCTAAAAGTAGATGGAATAAGAGTTTCAAGAGGGAACTTCCCGGCCCTCAGCAGACTGGCTGGGCAGCCTTTCTTTGCTCACGGTTATTTCCTGCAGGGATTTGTGCTTTCCAGGCTTGGAGGGAGGAGTGTGGAGCTCCATGATGAGCTCTGGCTCTGAAATAGTCCCAGAACTCCTCCAAAACGCCCTGCTGGGAGCTGGGGAGGAACACACGGACCTGCAGCCCCTTCTGGAATTGTTCCTTTTCCTTCTGGCGTGGAGTAACTTTGCTGCTGCTGCTGCTTCATCCTGGCTTTGCTGCTGCTGCATCCTGGCTTGCTGCTGATAGATCCTGGCTTTTCTGCCCCTGCAGCCTGGCTTTTCTGCTCCAATTGGGAACACCTGGCATGACCCTGCTCCAGGCACCGGGCCGGGGGGGACTTCTACCCTCCTGTGTCCCTTGCCCATGTCCTGGTCCCTTTTCCACACGGATCCCACCCCAGCCAGCCCTGAAGGATGCTGAGCACTGTCCTGCTCAGGAGGCTGAGGAATGTAGGATTTGGGGTGGGATGTGGAGGGCTGCTCCCCCTCCTCCTGTGTCCTCCACCCAAAATCCCCATCCAGCTCCATATCCCAATCCTTTGGAGTGGCTGTTCCTATGAGTTCACTGTAAATAGAATTTTGTATCTTCTCTGACTATTGCTAATAAATGGTTGCAAAACTGCTCCTGTGCCTGCTCTTGCTCTGTTTGTGCAGGTGCTGCTTCATCCCTTAAAATGCAAACAAGGTCCTGGCATGGCCCAAAGGTTTAACGGAGCCCGAGTCGCATCTTCCCCGGTTCTGAGTGAGGAGAACATCCCACACAGAGCAACAAAAAGCACATGGATCTGGAACAGGCGTCCTGGATGAGGAATATCTGAGAACTGAGGGCTCCTGGAATGAGGGGTTTGCTCCCTTCCCTCTCGGTTTACGTGACCAGAGGATTCAAAAATCAGTGACTGGGGATAAGCTGTGGGAGGGCTCCAGCTCCAAGGGAATTTTCTGCAGTGCTGGAGAGCAGCCGGAGCTTTCCCAAGAGTAAATGGAAGAAAAAAATTCCTCCAGAGACAATTCACCACCCAAAATGAGAACCTGCACTGGGAGAGGTAAACTCCTGTCTCACTCTCTCAGCTCTGAAGGGATGATTGTCCAGGACAGAAATCCCAAGGCAGCAGGTCTGTGCTTTTGGCAAGGAGTCAAACCCAAAATGTGGGAAATTTGGTTCCTGGGAAGTGATGCTGAACAGCCAGGAGGGATTTCCCTGCATTTTCTGTAGAAAAAAGGCTGAAGCTGAACATTCCCACAAAAATAATGAGGTGTCCAAGAGCAGTTGGACGAATTCCCTGAAATTACCACAGACATGACAAAAGATGATGATTCCATCAAATTTCAGCACTTGGCCTTTGGATGCTCAGGCAAAACTGGGGATTAATCAGACTGGGACCATCAAAGAAAGGATGGAGTGGTGTAGAATAAGGGGGAAAATTTGTCAGGGTGTGAGGGATGCTGAAGGAGGAAGGGGTGGAGCTGCCTTCCTGTTGAAAACAGGAATTTGGGGGTCCTAAATCCAGCCAGAGAGAGTCAGAGGAGACTTCAAACCCCTGAGTTCCACTGCCTGGAGAAGGGGGAACATCGTACCTATTTTTGCACTTTTTTCTGCCTTTCTTCTGTGGCCACGGGTTCCCAGCACAGGGACACGAGGAGCTGCTGGAGAGAGCCCCGAGGAGCCTCGGAGCTGCTGCAGGGCTGGAGCCCCTCTGGAGCCGGGCTGGGAGAGCTGGGGGGGCTCACCTCACTGCAGGGAGAGCTCAGAGCCCCGCCAGGGCCTGAAGGGGCTCCAGGAGAGCTGGGGAGGGAGCGGGGACAAGGATGGAGGGACGGGAGCCAGGGAATGGATTGCTGGTGCCAGGGGCAGGGATGGATGGGAGACGGGGCAGGAATTCCTCCCGTCAGGGTGGGCAGGGGCTGGGATGGATTTCCCAGGGCAGCTGGGGCGGCCCCTGGGTCCCTGCAGTGCCCAGGGCCAGGCTGGACGGGGCTGGAGCAGCCTGGGACTGGGAGGTGCCCCTGCCGTGGCAGGGGTGGGATGGGATGGGATGGGATGGGATGGGATGGGATGGGATGGGATGGGATGGGATGGGATGGGATCAGTGGGATCAATGGGATAAATGGGATCAGTGGGATGGGATGGGCTCAATTGGATGGATGGGATGGAATTTATGGGATGGATAGGATGGGATGGGATTTATGGGAGAGGATCAATGGGATGGGATTCAGTGGGATGGGATGGGATTTAGGGGGATGGATGGGATGGGATGGGATTTAGGGGGATGGATGGGATGGGATCAATGGGATTTAGGGGGATGGATGGGGTGGATTTTAAGGTCCCTTCCCACCCACGCCGTTCTGCGATCCCATGAAAACACGGAAGGGCCATCCAGGCAGCCGGAGCCTTTCAGCTGCATTCGTGAGCTCCAGGCGCCCTCTGCTCGTCACAGTGAGCCCAGATCGCTGCGCCAGCCGAGCCTAAAGCTGCGCCGGGACCCTCAGCCTGGGCCTCGCCCTCCTCCCAAAAACCTTAACAGGGAGCTTCCATCCTCTTCTGCTCCAAAACCTCTCTCAGCTGCAGCCTGGGGTCCTGGGCACCGCCAGAACAACCACGCGTTTGATTGGGATTTAAATAACTTTTATTCGTTATTGATGTGTACAACATTTATGCATTTATATGAATGTATATTTATTTATTTATTTATTTGATCACATCAGTTTATATTATTCAAAAATGCTTTCAACAACACTGATATAAGTCGTGTTTATACTCTTATTTATTTGAACAACATTCATCTCTTTTATAGGATAAAATATGAATTTTATATTAATGGATTAATGTGTACGTGCCATTTAAACCCCCAAACCCCTCCAAGGCCTGAGACCTGCGGGGGGAGGGGGTGGTTGTCACTGTCCCTCTGCGTCCTGTCAGGGCCACACAGACCTGGGGAAAACAGAGCTCACTGCTCAGAGTTTTTAAAAGTTTAATAATAATGATGATAATAGTAACAGGATAAAAAAGGACAATATTTCCAGTGCTGGGGTGCTCCTGGCCAACAGCCAAAGGACACTGGGGTATACAGACAGTGTTAACTTTGTAGGGTTACATTGCTAGGATGCATGCATATTCATGCAATTCATGCATTATTCAAACATTCTTTCCAACTTTCTGATGTTTTGGGGACTCCTTTGTTTGACTTCTGCACACTCCGGCCACATCCTGGGTGTCAGGTCAATATATTTTATTTCTTCTTCTGTCTCCATCTGGCTGCTTCACATCCTCTGGTAAGATTTTTGTATGTCCTACTTAAATCTAACATGGAATTATCTAAATATCCTCCTTAAATTTAACATGGTATTCTCTAAATATCCTCCTTAAATTTAACATGGTATTCTCTAATTGTCCTGCTTAAATTTAACCTGGGCGTCTCTAATTGTCCTCCTTAATTTTAACATGGTATTCTCTAATTGTCTCCTTAATTTTACCATGGTATTCTCTAATTGTCTCCTTAATTTTACCATGGAATTCTCTAACTGTGCTCTGGTGCTCTGGTTTGTGTCACGGTTACCTTATCACTTGGACAGGTGGGTCGGTGGATGGCCTTACACCGATTTTAGTTCCACAAAAGCCTTTTTCACGTCTGAAGTTTTGCTGAGGTCTGTAACACAGAACATTCATCACACTGTTATTTCCACAGGTCATACATAGCTATTATATTCATTACACTACTATTTCCATGAGCAACACAGTGCACACTCAAACGGATAAATTATATTATACTAACATGCAGCTAAAAGGAGTTACAATAGATATAACTATTTGTGAAAAACGCCAATCACTTGGTTTCTAAAAATTTTAAAAGTTTAATAATAATAAAATGGTTATAAAAATAGTAATACAATTAGAGTAATAAAATTTAGAGTTAGGACAATTACAAGACAATAAAAAGCAAAGAATTCCAGATGCTTTGGACACTAAGTCACAAAAAGCACACTTTGTGAACGAAGGAATAACCTTAAAAGCAACAGCCTGCTGCATATTCATGTATCTCATACATGATGCATAAATTCTTTGGAAATTAAGAATTTTTCTGCTTTTTGTCAACTTCTTAATCTTGGTGGTTCTGAAAAGACGGAGAGAAGGTGGAAGAATGTTTGTCTGTTCTGATAAGGAGGCTGTGACTCTTCATGGGCCCTTTTCACTGACATCTCTGGGTGAAGTTTCTTGATTATCTCATCTCTTGCTTGAGCTTGTAACAAATCCTATATCACAGACTTTCTATTTTAACATTATGTTGTAACCTAAATCTACATTTAACACCCTACTTAAGAGAATTAATACAGCAGAACTTTCTAACATTACACATAGAACATTCATGGTAACACTTGCTAAAAGCCAGCCATAAAGCCTGCATTTTTCACACTACTGATACAACTATTTCTGCACAGTTAAAGTCCCGTACAGCATGCACAGGCTCAGAGGGAAGTGCGAGAGCCGCTTTTATCGGGTCACTCTCACGGGGATCTTTGGACAAAATCTCTTCTCTTCGCCCCGAGGGGCTGCGGCTGCCGGGGCGGCGCTGTCCCGTGTACCGTGTCCTGTGTCCTGTGGCCGTGTC